GGGGCGCTCCCTGGCCACCGGCCGCCCTCGGTCCGGGCCTCCCTCCTCACCTGCTGGCCCCTTCTCTCCCCACGGAGCCTTCGGGGGCCCCGGGTCGGCCACCTGCAGTGGGTTTCGCATTTGCACAGGGTGGGCTGTTTCTACAGTTGTCCTCGGCCCCCCGCCACCCCTCCCTGCCTGTTTTGGGGCTCCCCGAGCCTCTGTGCAGACGCCCATCCAGTCTGCTCCTGAACCTCTAGCTTGCTTCCTGGCTGGAGGAGCGGCGTCTTCCAGCTACCCCTGCTCATCTTACCCTTCAGATTTTCACGGGTTAGATTTAGGAGAAAAGCCAGGGATGGGTGCTGGAAGACCTTCGCTCTTCCTTTATGGTTATATTTTTCCTTGTAACTTTTATTGCCGCGAGCATTTTACTCGATGTAGATTTTGTTATAAGTGAGCTCTTCTCTGTTGGAATTCTTTCGTGGGCTGTAATAAAAGGGGAAAAGTTGTTTTAACTGTGAGAACCTTTTCGAACTCTTAATTCGTGCCTCATAAGCTAAGTAATCAGTTTTGTGGAGATAGTTCAGGGCCTTTTGCAAAAGATGTTAAAACGATATTAAAATTCCACAAATTTTTCAGTTAATGTTGGGGAAATTTATATGGATATCCTGAAAACATCAGGCAGTCCTGTTTCTTGTAGAAATGAACCAAATAAAATAAACATTTAAACAACTATTTTTTAAGCATAGAGATCAACTTTTACGAATTCTCAGAAATTACATAGCATTAAGCAGAACCATCGTGGACAGACAGCGATGGGTTGGAGGATGCCCAGAGTGTTCAGTGCTAGGCCACACTCCAGATTAGCAATTTAAAGCAGTGAGGGTGAGTTTTGGATCTTAGCACCCCTGTCCCACAACAGTCATCTCCCTCCCTCCATTTTGAAAATTAGAAAATACCCGATTCAGATGTAGTTTTAAACACTAGGACTGTCCAGGACAATGGTTCTCTACCTTGATTGCTTATTAGAATTACCCCAAAAGCTGTTTAAAAAAAAAAAAAAATCCTTGTACCCAAACCACCAAAGTTAGGATCTCTGAGGGTGGAATCCAGACAACAGGTATAATTTCAAGTTCTCCAGGTGAGTGCAGTGTGCAGCCAAGGGGGAGAACCACTTATCCAGGAGAAGCTTAAGGAAAGGTTAAGCCTTTAAGCAGAAGTGCATAACCTTAAGTTTTTCAGTTAGCTGTATTATAGTGTCTTTATCCTCTCTGGCTTTTGAATTTAGTTCATTCTGACAGTATCCGTTAATTGCAGGAAAGAAAAAAATGTGGTTTTTCAGTTTTTCAGATTTCAGAAAGTGAAGTGTGAAGACTTAATAGAATCCAAGTTGTTCTCTCCAGTTGAGACTGGGGATTGGTTGTGCAGAGATCACCTGAAATTAGATGGAATATTTTGTGCATGTGTCCATCCTCCTAGGGGATTTGTAGCTTTCATCAGATTTCTAAGTGATTATTTCCTACCCAAATAAAGAATTACAGTTTTATTTAGTTGGTACTAGACTAACCAGTCTTACTGGAAAGTTTTGAAGAAGTCAGTCATTATTTTTGTCTGTCTTGAACAAATTTGAAAATGCAGTTGCCATTTTGAAAAAACAATAGCTGAGTCAAATAAGACTTCAGTAGTTAAATGTTCCCTCCTAATTAGATTAATAAAGAATTTTCAGTTTGACGTAGCATAAGTCATTATCACTAAGTCTGAATTAATTAGATATAGTTAATGAGATTGTTGTATATATTCAAGAAGATTAAAAGTCCAATTTTTCTGAACTGTGATCAAGGTGATTTAGGGAAAGCAACAACTGCTTAGGAATTTTACATTCAGATTTCTTCTTGATACTAATAGCCAATGGGAATCTTCCTCAGGATTTTTTTTGGGAGCTAGAGTGGAAAAATATTTTGTGATGACTGAATAGTCTTAAAAGAGTTAAGAAGAGTGCTTTGTTTTTATTCATTGGTCATCTCAAATTTTGCCATCACCATCCTTTGGTTGTATAGACAAGGGATATCCAACCCAAATGGCCTACAATAAAACTATACAAAATGAGAATTAGTTTTTCAACTTGAACTAAAAAGGTACAAAGTATGTTATTTCATTGTATTTTAAATCATGACTCTGAATGCCTAGTAACTGTAAAGAAGTCAATTTTATTTCTAATACCGAATTTTTCAAGTACAATATATTTTAGAGGCATCCATTTATTTACTAGTTCAAATCAATCATATGCTTAGACTAGTTTACTTATAATTTATTCTGCAGTTGTTGTAAGCCATTTTAAATATTGCTGTATATTACCTAATTTAATACTTGGCTCTTGGATTTCCTCTTAAATTTATAAGTGGTTTTATGTAAAAGTTTTTCACCTTTGGTGTCCAGACAACTGTCCTTTGAGGTAAATAAAGGCAGGGGGTATTACTGTTTCATAGCTGGGGACTTGGAGGTATAGATTAGCTAGGCCAAGATTACATAAGCAGTTAATGATAAATACAGAAGAAAACCTGAGTCAGGATTAGGATTCCTAGTTTAATTTTTTTTGTATGAAACCATAGTAGTTTCTCATTTTTTATTGGCCATCAGTCAGTTGAGAAATATTTTCTGCTAATTCACTGACTTTCCAAATTGAGATAATTTTAGTGAAAATTTGCATTGAATGACGTCCTTTCCCCATTTTATTCCAGTTCCTGTCTTTCCTTCAGTCCTCAAAATTTGACTTTATTCTGTCAGTGAGCAGGAGTTTCTACTGTCAGTCTGCCCTGTAATAGCTTGTGTTGGCAGTGTGAGATGTGGTCCCCATTCTTAAGGAGTGTACAATCTAATATGTAATAATATCTGTGCTAAGATGGAAATCCAATTAGGATATATTGGGAGCAAAAGGGAGGTATATGGTCTGCTCTACATTAAAAGTGTCAAGAGTGGTCTCTTTGAATTGATTTCTGAGAACAAAGTAGGTGGTGGTTGTAAGGATGTGGTTAGTACAGAGATTTCCAGACTTATACATAAACCAGTTATAAAAAATTCAAGTGGTGGAGGCCTTAGGGAGTGCCCAAGTTTTTCAGGTAAGGATATTCAAAATGCCACCTAGTTTATCATTTTGTAAAGAAAGGACATTTTATGACCAAAACTCTAAAAAGGAAATAAGTGCAGAATAATTTAAATAGATTGATTCTAAAAAATTGAATGAATATAGCTTTATGATCATTGTTCCTTGTTTTTCTGATTTCTCTGCCATTTGGTAAGATTGATTTAGTGGAGATAGTATTGAATTGAGAGCTAGGAGAGGAAGGAAAAGGGAATTTAATGAGTTCTTACTACATGCTTACATTATTTCTTTTAATCTTCACAAGAGCTCTGCAAAATAAGTATTATCCCTCAATTAAAGATGAGGAAACAGTCAGTGGTTAAAATAACTTACCCAACCTATTCAACTAGTAATTAGCATAGCCTTTTAATCTTAAGATTTTTTTTCTTCTTCTGAAGCCCATGTTTTTTGCATTACGTTACTGGTTCTGTTACTTACTACTAACTCTGTGATTTTATGTAAAATAGTTCACCTGTGGGTCATCATTTTTTCCATCTGTAAAGTAAATTTGACCAGATAGTTACTAAGGTTTATTCACTGTGTGAATCTCCCTTGATTAAATGAAAGCATTGTCTGGCTGAGTGAAAGAAAGTAAAAACTTATTTGGGGCAATAATATTTGGTTTTTTGTTATGGTATTTTTATGTCTATTTTTGAACTGTTTTTAAATGACACACCACTTTTGAGAATCAGTTTGAAGCCAGACTGTAGTATTTTAGGTTGCGAGTGTCTGAGCCAGAAAGTCAGTTATAAATTCTTTTAAAATGTGCAAGATACCATGTTACTGTTTGTTACTATTTTTTGATTATGTGTATCCTGTTCTATGCCTTGTCACATTAGCAAGGCACTAGATTGTATAATTTTATAGGTGTCGAGGAACCTTTATGTTCTATTGTAGTATAATGTTTTCCAAAATGTGCCTTATGACTCATTAGTAGGTCATAAATCAATTTTCTGGGTCAGAAACAGCATTAAAAAAATAAAATGGAAAAGTAAATATTAGAGTACATCACAGATTAGAGAGGGAAATATTATTTCCTGAAATTTGTTTGAAGTGTTTGTGATGTGTGTGTGTTTGGACTGCAGTGTATTTCATACTGAAAGTCATGGTTAACAATGAAAAACACTTCCCTAGAGCAGTGGTTTTCAACCAAAGTGCTGTTGACATTTTTAGGTCAGATGATTTTTGGTTGTGGGGGCTGTCCTGTGCATTGCAAGATATTTAGCAGCATTCCTGACTTTTACCCACTAGATGTCAGTAGTACTTCTCTGTTGGTGACAACCAAAACTGTCTCCAGATCTTGCCCTTTAACTCCTGAGGGGCAAAATTGCCCTTCTGGTGTGAACTGTTGCTGTAGAGCAAGTGTTCTTTCTGATAGTTACTCTCTTCTATCTGAAAAGGTAGCTTTATGATTGGGCCAATTTTTTAATTAGATTTTTTTTTTTTTTTTTTTTTTTTGAAGTTGTTTGAGTTTCTTGTATATTCTGGATATTAATCCCTTGTCTGATGTATTGTTTGCAAATATTTTCTCCCATTCAGTAGGTTGTCTTTTCAACAGAGTAACGGAATTTTAGGTTTGGAGGGGGCTTGGTAACCACTTTTATTTAAAGAAACTATGTGATTTGTTCATGCATTATTTATTTGTATCACCCAGCCCTTCAGAATGCAAACCAACATCTTCCTGGCCCAGTGTACTTTTTATTATATACCATTATAACTTGTTAATTTATGAATTTCCTTTATTTTTACTTTAATATAACCAAGTATAAGAAAAGTGTCTTGGTTTGTGCAAAAGTAAATAGGAATGCATTTAGATATTTCTTGTTGGTGTGTATTTGCATATATTTATTATGCCTTTCTTTCTAAATTTTTATTCAGCTTTCTAAAACCAACTTTTCCAACAACAATGATTTCCGTGCTCTTCTGCAGTCTTTGTATGCTACTTTCAAGGAGTTCAAAATGCATGAGCAGATTGAAAATGAATACATTATTGGTTTGCTTCAACAACGCAGCCAGACCATTTATAATGTACATTCTGACAATAAACTCTCTGAGATGCTTAGTCTCTTTGAAAAGGGACTGAAGAATGTTAAGGTGAGTTGCAAAAATGGGTATTTAACTATCACAACGTGTGCCATCTTCTGCTGTGGCATTGGCAAACATTTTATAGTAAATGATGTTATGTTAAAGAAAAAAATTATTCTGTCACTTGTTAAAGAGGGTAAAGAAGACTTTATTTAAGAGGGATGACTGTAGTGGGGGCTTGCAGTAGGGGAGAAAGATTGTGCTTAATTCTGAATGCAATAGGGAGCAGAATGGGGGTCAGTGGATGGAAAATTATGAAGAAGAAACATCAAGGCCAGGGGGATTCTTACTGAAGGCAGGCAGAGTAATAAGATATTGAGGATGGGAGATGAGGAATTTGACCAAGCATCTAGGATGGTCAGATAACAAGGGTGGGAGATCTGACTCAGCAGGATTCTTGCTAGACTGAACTAAGTGGGACAGAGCCCAAGGTGAAGACTGAGTTGAGAAGAGAGCTCAGAAGAGCCTGACTCAGGTTTGGTTGAGAAGAAAGACAAGGGAAAAAAGCAGATGTTCTTCTTTTTTTTGAATAATATGAGTCCATTTCTTGTTTCCTTGTGAACAGAGGTTTATTTGGCTTAACGATTCTGGGACAGCTGCATCTGGCACAGGCCTCAGGCTGCTTCTACTCACGGTGGAAAGCAGCAGGCAGCCAGCATGTACAAGCAGATCACATGGCGAAGGGAAGCAAGAGAGAGGGGAGGTGCCAAGGTCTTTTTAAACAACCAGCTCTCGGGGGCCGGCCTGTGGCTCACTCGGGAGAGTGTGGTGATGATAACACCAAGGCCACGGGTTCGGATCCCACATAGGGATGGCCGGTTAGCTCACTTGGGAGAGCGTGGTGCTGACAACACCAAGTCAAGGGTTAAGATCCCCTTACCGGTCATCTTTAAAAAAAATAAAAATAAAAAAAGTAAACAACCAGCTCTCACTGGAACTAATAAAGTGAGAACTTACTCACTACCCCCACTCCCAAGGGCAAGCATTAATCCATTCATGAGGGATCCACCCCTGTGACTCAAACAGCTCCCAACACTGCCACATTGGGGATCAGATTTACACATGAGCTTTGGGGGGACAACACATTTAAACTCTGTCATTCTGCCCCTGGCCTCCCAAAACTCATGTCATTCTCACATACAAAATACAATCATTCCACCCAACGGTCCCAAAAGGCTTAGTTTGCACCAACTTAAAAGTCCAAAGTCTCATCTGAGACCAAAGACAAAACTCCTTCCATCTGTGAATCTGTAAAAATCAAAAACAAATTTATCTACTTTCAAGATACAGTGGTGGAACAGACATCCCTATTCCAAAAGGGAGAAATAGACCCCAAACAAGTCCAAAACCCAGCAGGGCAAACATTAAATCTCAGTGCTCCAAAATAACCTTCTTTGACTCCAAGTCCTGCATCCTGGGCAAAATTGGGCATCTGGGTCCCTAAAACCTTGGGCAGCCCCACCCCTCACAGCTCTGCCGGGCACAGCCCACTGGTCTGTGCTGGTAACTGCGGCTCTTCCAGGCAGGTGTTGCATGTTGCCAATGGCCCTACAGTTCTGGAGTACTGGTGGCAGCCCTGCTTCCTTGGCTCTATTAAATGTTTCCCTGGTGGGGGCTCTCTGTGAGGGCTCCGTCCCCACATTTCTGCTCCGCTTGTAGCTCTAGTAGATGGCCTCCGCGTTGGCTCCTACTCTGCAGCAGGTCCCTGCCTGGGCCCTCAGGCTTTCCATACATCCTCTGAAATCTGGGTGGAGGCTGCTACGCCTCCTCTGCTCTCTTGTCCTGCAGGCCTGCAAATTTAATACCACATGGATGCCACCAACGTTTCCGGCTTATGCTCTCCAGAGCTGCTGCACCAACCACACTTGGGGCCACTTGAGGCAGGGCTGTGCCAGCCAGAGCAACTGAAATGCAGGGAGCAGGTTCCGGAGGGCAGCAGCTCCCCATGTCTGTGCTCTGGAACAACTCTGTCCCCCTATGCCTCCGGGCTTGTGGTAGGAGGGGCAGATTTCCAGGCTTCTGAAATGCCTTCAGGGCCTTTTTCCCATTGTCTTGGCTATTAGCATCTGGCTTCCTCAAGCTAATGTCGTTAGCAACCAGTCTGCTTCACCCTTACATTTTTCTCCTGCTCTCTGCTTCTCTACCACATGCCCAGACTGCAAATTTTCCAAATCTTTCTGCTCGGCTTTCCTATTAAATTCTGGCTTTAAGTAATGCCTATGCTTCCGTAACTCAGCATAGGCTGTTACAAGTAGCCATGAAGCTTCCTTAATGCTTTGCTGCTTGGAAATTTCTTCTGCCACACATTCTGGTTCACCACTCTACATAGTCCTAAGGCATGGACACAATGCAGTCAAGTTCCTTGCTGTGGTGTAGCAAGTGTGATCTTTTGTCCAGTTCCCGATAAGTTCCTCATTTCTATCTGAGACCTCATCATCAGCATGGCTTTTTCTGTCCACATTTCTGTCAGCATTCTGGTCACACCTTTTAACCAATCTAAAATTTCCAAACTTTCCTTCATCTTTTTGTCTTCTGAGTCCTCCAAACTCCTCCAACCTCTGCCCATTACCTGGTTCCAAAGCCACTTCCACATTTTCAGGTATCTGCATAGCAACGCCCTGCTCCCAGTAACCATTTTCTGTATTAGTCCGTTTTGTGTTGTTATAACAAAATACCTGAGACTGGGTAATTAATACAGATCAGAGGTTTGTTTGGCTTATGGTTCTGGGACAGCTGTCTCTGGTGTGGGCCTCGGGCTGCTTCTACTGATGGTGGAAAGTGGCTGCCTGGGCCTCAGGCTGCTTCTACTTATGGTGGAAAGCAGTTGGCAGCCAGCATGTACAAGCAGATCACATGGCAAGAGGAAGCAAGAGAGAGAGAGAAGGTGCCAGGGTCTTTTTAAACAACCAGCTCTCACAGAAACTAATAAAGTGAGAACTCACTCACTACTCTCACCCCCCAGGGTGAGCATTAATCCATTCATGAGGGATCTGCCACCCTGACTCAAACAGCTCTCAACATTGCCACATTGGGGATCAGATTTCCACATGAGTTTTGGGGGACAGCACTTTCAAACTCTATCAGTTGCGTTTTGTCAAGATTTCTAGACATTGGGCTGTAAGCATCTTTGGATAGTTGAGCAAGGACAGCAGTAGCAATCTGACAAATTTCCTGGTTTGCAGTTTGAATATCTGTGGTGATGACATATATGTCAATGCCACAGTCATGGTTATTTCTTAGAGCAGAGCATGGAAGTGTCTATCTTCCCCAGGGCTTCTTTAGATAGTCCCAGTAAAGATCTGAGCAGTCAGGTTTGAGTTCTCAGTAACTCCAAGATAGGAAAGTGGCAGAAATATTGGAAACATTGGGTTAGAGAGTTGTAGCAAGATATTGGAGGAAACTGGGAGAATTGTTACAGTCTAGTCTACCAGGTAGATAACAAAGGACAAAGTAAAAATGGAGTTTATCAAGAGGTGAAAAGTAGCTTAAAGATCCACGAGGGGTGGGTTATAGCTTTCTATTTGAAACCATATGTCTCTACAATGACCCCTGTTTTTGTCAAAGATAAAAATAAGACTATTTTTGTTTATAAAATAAGTCTGGCCTCATCAGACTTGCCTGATTATTTAAATAAGTGCAGCAAGAGTAGTGATTGACAGTGTAGGCCCTTTTTAAGTCTGCTTTGCTGGGACTTTTAATGGGGAATCTAAGATTAGGCTTTTAAAAGCCCCTTGAGGCAGGGAAGCCAAAGAATTTGCCATGAGACTTAGCCAGAAATACCTATAAATTTGGGTGAATTCCTCTCCTTGAGGTCCCCCAAATGTCCTGTGGGCCTGTCTGGAAGTGACGTTTCTTACATACAAGGCCAGAATCCCTAAAAGCCAAGTACCAGGCTTGTTTTTCCAAGAGAGTTTTGTAAATATTGGTTCATAAAGTTGATGTTAGTTCCTTAAAACCATCTGGTTGTATCTGATTCTGTGAACATCATTCTCAGATAACCCATTCCCATCAAAGCCTTGATTATATAACCAGTGTTTCCAGTTGAATCCTGTTGCAAGGAGAACAAGTTCTCATTGAACTTAATGCTAATACCTATTGCCCTGAAAGTAAGAATATTCAAGAGTTTCCGAGTTCTAGAGAGTCGGGTAGAGAGAAAAAGATAATGTTTCATTTTTGTTTACAAAGGTGTAATCTATTAAAATGTTATGAGGTATAGATAGCTTAAGAGAGAAAGGAAAAGGGGTTTCTTATATCCACAAAGTAAAACATTAAAGAACCAGCAGTGTTCCAAAGAAAACCTTAATCACCCCTTATCAGTTCATTCAGCCCCATGTCTTGATTTTGGGTTAGCAGTTTCTTGAATCCATCACCTTCTCCACTAGAGTCCTGGAAATCTTTACACAGTCTTGTGATAGGGTCTCAAAGTTACTTAAGCAATGCCATCACAAAGCATTCTGACCTGTAGCTGATTGCAAACGTTTTCAGAGAAGAATCAGAGTGAAACAATAACTATTTGTGGATGTTAAAAAGCTTAAAATGGCAATGGCTGAAGATCAGATGAGAGTTCATTTGACAAGAAAATTGGTTGTTTTTGTGATACAAAACATTTAAAAATACAGCATTTAAAAATAATAACTGGAATTAATTACTGATAACATACTTAGACATAATAATGGATAGCAAGGATACAGACAAATTTTTATGAACTTTTTTTTGAAGTAATAATATTAATAATATTTACCCATACAACTATAAGCTAGAGAAGGTTAAGTATCTCTTCTTATTTGACAATGCTTCCCATGCAATTTAACATATCAAATAAACCAAATTATTTTTATCATTTCTTTTTTCAAAGCAAAGAAAAAATCCTTTAAGATTTTCCAGTGGCTGTTTGGGAAATATTAAAGTCAGTTCGTGGTTAAGAAGACTTCATTTAGAATTTGATTTTGGGAAGTTGTCAAAAAATGTCAAAAGGTTTGAACATTTGACTAAGTAAGAGCCTAGCTTAC